TCCTTTCGCCCCCATTTCCATCTCGGGAACAGTCCGTCACAACTAAAAGCGGTAAGCACATTACCGATACGGGGGTCATGAGAGCGACTTAGGCCCGTCTGCTGACACATCAAACTTCAATAGTTTAAATATGTCATCCGCTACAAATGCTTGTCAATCAAAGCAGAGTCCGCAAAAAAAAAACAAAAAAAAAACACTCAAACTTCGTCTAGGGTCTCGACAGCTGGATATGGTATTGAGATGCAGCTCGCGCATTTGGTATCTTATCGACACAAAAGTGAATACATTGCCGTAGCATACCAGGATACCCGCACTGGGCGCCGTATCTAACAAATAATCCCACTGTCTGTTTCCCAACAAGGATTTGTAAAGCTACGCCGCGTACGCGTACACGTGTCTCGAAGCCTAGACGGCACGTTGTCTCCCCTTGATGAGGATGACGAGAGCGTGCACGAGATGCAGAGCGCCCCCTGGGGCGGCTGGGCGGGAAACTCGCGCCCGAGGTCGAGGACGCAGAGGACGCCGTCACCTGCAGAGTCTCCGCGGCAAGTGCGCGCCAGAGGCGGCAGGTCCACCGACTCGGTCATCAGCTCGGACGAGTCGCTGAGCTGGCCGAGCGACGGCAGCGCCAGCAACAACGACCACGAGAAGAGGGTGCCCCTCGAGGAGTTCCGCGCGAGGACCACGAGCTACCTGCGCTGCCCGCTGGACCTGCACGACCTGCCCAAGGACTGCTTCCAGGCCGTACAGACGCTCAGGGCGCCCGTCGTGGACCCCGACGTGGACGACGAGGAGGCGCCGCCCCCGTACGAGCTGCACACCGAGTCGTACTTCATGGCGCACCCTTTCATGGTTCGCTTCGCCCACGCCTTCCACGCCTCGCTGGCGGCGGCGCTGGGCGTGGCGACGGAGAGCATGCACCAGGCCAGCCTCCGCGTCAACAACGGGCCCGCCGCCATCCTGTACGAGAGGACCGCCGGGCCCATGGCCGGGCCGCAGCTCACGCTGCAGCACGAGGTCATCCCCGCGCTGCCGCTGGCCTCCTGGCCCGCCGCCCTGAGGGACTGGGTGGTCCGCGAGAGGAACGGCTGGCCCGCGAGCGGCACGGTGCGGGACGTGCACGACCTGGGCTGCCTGGCCGTGCCCTCCGTGACCTCGGGCGTCGACGCGCACACGCTGCAGTGGACGCTCGCCTTCCCGGGCGGGGAGCGCCTGCTCGAGCTCAGCATGTCCGCGCCGCAGGCGCACGCCTACCTCAGCCTGATCGTCGTGCTGCGCGCCGTGCCCGGCGTCAACGCCAGCCTCATCAGAGCCTTCTTCCTGCGCCTCAGCGAGCGCACCAAGGCTGACATGGAGGTGAGGGTCCAGGGCCCCGCGGCCGCGGGGGAGCGGCAGGCGCAGCGGACCAACCAGGACTAACTTTGTCTTGTCCACAGTCTGCCGCCAGCAGCCTGGGGTGGGCGCCCGGGAGGTCGCTGCGGAGGGCACTACAATACCTGTACTCGGCTCTCAAGCAGCGGCAGCTGCCAGACTACTTCGTGTCGGAGCGGAACCTCCTCTCCGAGCTACCCAACAGTCAGGTAGGTAGAGGTTGCTAGGAAGGCCCACAGTTTCTGCTCGTCCCCGGTCACGACTCGACCCCAACCTCCTCGTGCACAGATCTACCGAGCCCAGGAGCGCCTCCTGCGCCTGCGCGAGCAGCTCGTGTTCCGGGTGCTGCAAACGTTCCGGCGTCTGGTCTACGTGCGCGATCACGACTTCTACCCGCGCCTCCAGTACGACAAGCTAGAGGCGCTGCTCGGCGAACCCGACAGCAGCCCGAGTGCCTCGAGCAGCAGCTTCACCACACCCAGCAGCAGCAGGTTCGCCACACCCAGTAGCAGCAGGTTCGCCACGCCCAGTAGCAGCAAGTTCACCACACCGAGTAGCAGCAGGTTCACCACACCGAGTAGCAGCAGCTTCACCACACCCAGCAACAGCAGGAAAACCAGCCGCAACGAGGCCATCGGCGCACAGAACGCCTTGAACGGCTTCCACGTCAACTGGATAGAGAGCTTCCCTGCCGCGACCAGGCCCGGCAGCCCCGGCAGGAGCAGGAGGACCAGCCGCCACGAGCAGCAGCCGCAGCCGCAGCCGCAGCCCAACGCCCTGAGCAGCGTCAACCAGAGGTGGATAGATGAGGTCCGCCGGAAGGCCGAGGAGGACAAGCAGCGCGAACTCCAGGCGGCCTTCACCACCCACCCGAGGCTCCACAAGCACATGACGGTGAGTGCCAGAGAGAGAGCAGCGGCAAAATCTTTTGTCATCTTTTCACAGTCATGATAAAATATTTTCGCTTCTTAACAGATCAAACTGGGAACCTCCAGTCCGGAGACGAAAATGCGAACACAAGGCCTGCTCAAGTTGTTTTGTGATCAGTTTATAAGAATGGGGAAAGCCAGCACACAGTTTAAAGACTACTCGCAGGCATATGTATACCTGCGACACAGTCTGCACCTTCTGACTATTCTACAACAAGACTATGGGTACATAAATGACGCCAGACAGTTTTTGAGCAGAGTAAGACACGCTGAGAGGGAATTGACACAGTCTGCAATGATGGCACAGAATGAGAGGGCAAAACCGGTATACGGAAGTGCGTCAAATCTTTCATCTTATCATGCACACAGGCAACACCACATAGGGTTTGGTTCAACTAGCGTTTTGTGAAACAGACCTGAAAGACTCCATTTTGTGAAGTTTTTACGAAACTACAAAATATTATTTCAGTCCATGACAAAGAGACAACATATACCCAGGACCCAGGTATATTGAAAAATAGTTACCCCTTTCTGATACTCTTATAATAATCAAATGCAGTAAAATGCATTCTTATTACTATGAATTGTGATATGATCTAATTAAAACTAAAACTACCATTAGATAAGATTATGAACTTACATCAACTCCATGTTCAGTGTAGAAATCAGCAGTTCCCATACTAGCGTACAGTTTGTAGCCCATCTTACTTAGAGCTTGCATACTGGGCAAGAGCTCCATTTTGTGCTATAAAATATAATAATAAAATGTTAGTGATGGAAGCAGAAGTGAGTTGCAATTGAGTTGGCAAAAATATACACCTACCTTGAAACTGCCGACGGACAGAAGGATAGAATGCTTAGGAATGGTAAATCCAGTACTCATCATTGCTTTGAGATAAGCATCATATCTGTTTTCACCAAAACATGCTACTTCTCCAGTAGATGCCATTTCAACGCCCAACATCACATCAGCTCCTGAGATTTTTTTTTTTTTAGGAAGGAAAAGAAAACATCGTGAAGAAAAAATAGTTAACTAAATACAGGTACTAGAACCAACTAGTGGGTTGTTAATTATTTACCTGCAAGACGTGAGAATGAAAACTGGGGTACTTTGCATCCTACTTTACCACATCCAGCCATGACATTCACAGGTTCTACTTTCTCTCCAATAATGACACGAGTGGCCATTGCAACAAAATCATGATCCAATGTCTTTGAAACAAATGGAAAAGATCTTGACACTCTCACATTGCACTCAATAACTTTAATGTCGTTGTCCTTTGCAATCAACTGCATGTTAAAGGGTCCAGAAACTTCTAAGGAACCAGCAATAGCCTTAGCAATTGCAGTTATTTTACTCAAGGTTTGTTCATTGATATCCTGTGGTGGTGTGATAAGAGTAGCATCTCCAGAATGTACACCAGCGTTCTCCACATGTTCACTGACTGCCATACAGATAATAGCACCATCACAAGCCACTGCGTCAACATCAATTTCCTGGATAGAAATGGTTGTTAGTCACTAAGAATGGGAAAGCTCAAGAGTATTGGGAAAATAACATTTTTACTGTACCTTAGCCTCCAATATGAATTTTGAAATAACAACAGGGTGCTCTTTGCTGACATTGCTAGCAGTGTTCAGGTATGTTTCAAGGTCCTGTGGAGTATGTGCCACATTCATGGCTGCACCACTCAGCACATAGGAAGGGCGGACTAAACATGGATAGCCAACTTCATCACAGAAACTTTTGGCAGATTCCAAGTTTGTGAGTTCCTTCCACCTGAAAAAAGAGAACAATAAAATTAATATTTAGGGCAATTACAAAAGTCTGAGGGAATTCGAAACTGAGTGCTAGTACCTTGGCTGACCAATTCCAATGCGATCCAACATACGAGAGAACTTAAACCTATTTTCAGCTCCATCTACTGAATCTGGTGAGGTGCCAAAGATTCGAGCTTGTTGCCTATGCAAATCCATTGCTATATTATTGGGCAGTTGTCCACCCATAGACAAAATGATTCCTTCAGGATTTTCAGCATTGTATATATCCATAACAACTTCAAAAGATATCTCTTCAAAATATAGTCTATCAACCATGTCATAATCAGTACTGACAGTTTCAGGGTTGTAGTTGACCATGATAGTTTTTCTCCCTAATCGTCGCAGTTCTCTCAGACAACCAACAGCACACCAATCGAACTCCACAGAGCTTCCAATACGGTACACACCAGATCCAATCACCATTGTAGAGCCCCCACTGAAAGCAATGTCATGTGAATGACCATTGTAGGTAAGGTACAGATAATTTGTCACTGCAGGCCACTCTGCTGCCACAGTATCTATTTGTTTCACAAAAGGTAAAACTTTCACTTCCTCTCGGAATTTCCTCACAGCAAGCTCTGTACTCTTCACAAAGGTTGCAATTTGAGTATCACAGAAACCAAGTTGTTTTGCTTGGATGAGTGGTTCACGAGAGAGAGTTCCTTGACTAAGAGACTCTAAAGTAGACTGGAACTCAATTATATTCTTCATCTTATGAAGAAACCAGCGATCAATTTTAGTTAGCTCATACAGCCTATCAATGGTATATCCAGCAGCCAATGCAGCTGCCAAGACAAAAGTGCGCTTGTCTGTTGGTGCTTCAAGTTCTGCATCATCAACAGACCTTATAGAAGGATCAAATCCCTTTATGTTCTCATCAACCATGCGTAAAGCTTTCTGGAATGCTTCTTCAAAGCATCGACCAATAGACATAACTTCTCCAACACTCTTCATAGAACTTCCAATTTTGGAGCAAACTCTTGCAAATTTTGCAAGATCCCATCTGGGTATCTTAACTACACAATAGTCAAGACTTGGCTCAAAACAAGCAGTTGTTGAACCAGTGACGGAATTTCGAATATCAGGCAGTCTCAATCCAAGGGAAAGTTTGGCTGCAACATAGGCCAAAGGATAGCCCGTGGCTTTGCTTGCTAGAGCTGAACTACGAGACAATCTGGCATTGACTTCAATAATGTAGTATTCATTTGATGTAGGGCTCACAGCATATTGAATATTACATTCACCAACAATTCCCAGGTGGCGAATAACTTTTAAAGCTGTGCTTCTGAGTTTGTTGTACTCGTAGTTACTAAGCGTTTGACTGGGCGCCACAACAATAGACTCTCCAGTATGAATTCCCAAAGGATCGACATTCTCCATATTACAAACAGTAATGCAATTGTCATAAGCGTCTCTTACAACTTCATACTCCACTTCCTTCCAGCCTTTAAGGGATTTGTCCACAATCAGTTGGCTTGAGTGGGCCAAAGCTTGTGTAGCAAGAACTCTCAGCTCTTCAGCAGTATTAGCAAAACCTGATCCAAGTCCTCCCAATGAAAAAGCAGCGCGTGCTAAGACAGGGTATCCTAGTTTTTCAGCAGCATCCAAGGCTTCTTGGACAGAGTTAACTGCACAACTTGGTGCAACTTTCTCTCCAATCTCGTTAACTCTTTCTGCAAAAACTTTGCGATCTTCTGTATCAATAATAGCCTGAATTGGTGTACCTAGGATTTTCACATTGTATTTTTTAAATACACCTGTTTCATTCAGTTTAACCCCACAGTTTAGGGCAGTCTGACCACCGAAAGTGAGGAGTACGCCATCTGGTCTTTCATGACAAATCACCTGCAAAACTCAAATTGTCAACATAGGCATCTCTGCAATAGACAGAAGTCAATACTATAGTATGGTAAGTAAAAAAGCTTTTACCTGCTCAACATATTCAGGAATGAGGGGAAGGAAATAAACTTTGTCTGCCAGTCCTTTAGAAGTCTGAACTGTTGCAATGTTTGGATTGATGAGAACTGTTTGAATATTTTGTTCCCTCAAAGCTTTCAAAGCTTGGGAGCCTGAATAGTCAAATTCGCCTGCTTGACCAATTGAAAGACCACCAGAACCCAAAATAAGAACCTGAAAAACAAATGTGTAATGAAATATTGCAGTGGAGAAAAAATACAAAAAATACATACATATTAGAAATTACCTTTCGAGGTGGTTTTTCTGGGCAAGGAGGAACAACACCTGGTGCTGGGCGGTAAACAAGTCGGTCATGAATGCGATCAGCCATCTTCATACCAGATCCCCGTCCCCAGCTTTGAGCATGAGCCTTCACTTCATCAAGAAACACATCAAACAAGCACTCCAAATCTTCAGGACCAGGAGTGTGCTCTGGGTGAAACTGCACACTGCATACAAATAAAAATATAGTAGAAGCCAAATTACCAATCAGAAGAATATTAAAGTTCTTCGAATGATACAATAAATTTGTACCTGAAAAATGGCATGGAATCATGAACGATGCCTTCATTTGATTTATCATTAGTATTCGTAAAAAGTGCACTCCATCCAGAGGGTAAATTCTGAGCATCAACTGCAAAACCATGATTTTGTGAAGTCATGTAGCAACGTTCTGTTCCATGATGAGTGACAGGTTGATTATGACCACGGTTTCCATAGCTGTAAACAATAATATAAAGATTATAGATGTTGTCTAAAAAAACACATAATTCCAAAATATCTAATTACATTTTTCATTATAGCAGAAGTTAATGAAACCTACATCAATTTGTATGTGCGACAACCAGCAGCAGTGGACAGCAATTGATGACCAAGACAAATACCAAAAATTGGTTTTAGTTGTGGCGTTCCAGGTTTGGCAGCAAGGAGTTTCTTGATATTTTCAACAGTCACAGAGCACATTGCTGGATCACCAGGACCGTTACTAAGGAAAAGTCCATCAAACTGGCTTGGGTCCAAAGGATGGTTCCAGGGTACCATATCTACACGTACACCACGTTTTAAGAGACAACGCAGTTGGTTGTATTTCAAGCCACAGTCTACAGCACAAATTCTTGGTGTGCCACTAGGGTTGTAAGTGACAGGTGCCTGTAAAACAACATTCAGTTAAATAAAGACAGAATTACCGAAGGAGATAAAAATTTTCTCAGCATAAGAAATTATTACAACTTAGTACCTTGATTGAGACCTCTGCAACAAGATTGCGAGAATTGGGGTCCACAAATGAGAGGGACTGAGAGGGTGCAGGATTTGGCCCCATCACAATATGCCCCAAAATTGATCCACGTTCACGAAGGCGTTGAGTCAACGCACGTGTATCGATGCCACATATTCCAGGGATACCATGTGTTCCCAACCACTGAGAGAGAGTCCGGGCCATAGCCCAATGGCTTGGAGTATCGCATATCTCACCGACAACCAAGCCAGAGGCCCAAATGCGACGGGATTCAAAGTGACTAAACAGAGAAAGAATTAAAAAATCAGATCAACTCTGACAACATTAAAAGTTTAGTATTATATCTGTCTTTACCTTGGGAGACCATGTTCATCAAGTTCTTCATTAGGAACACCATAGTTTCCAACTAAAGGGTAAGTTAGCACCAAAATCTGAGCATGGTAAGAGGGATCTGTCAAAGACTCAGGATATCCTACCATGCCCGTCTGAAACACTGTAAGAAAAACAATTTTGTCATAATAGAGTTCAACAATTCATTGTAGTAGCGATACTCCCCGCGATACACCCCATCCGAGGAGTATATCTACGCCATGGGGTATTCGCGAATGCGCATATCTTTTAAAACATTCAAAATCGACCTTAAATGTGTTGACATTTCCAGACATTAAATGTTACAAGAATTTAATAGCCAGTTCATCGGAAAATGACTCTCGGATTGCTCAAACCGTCCCCTATTTGTGGTACATGCGTTGGACACCACCGGTCCGGTCAGCCGACGGTATCGAGTTCGGGTGTTGTCCACCTAGTGCTAGTTCATTGACCCGGAATAAAATAGGCACCAAGAGAGTTATTAAATGAGGGTTTACCCTTCCAAATGAAACTTAAATTGATAGCAATTCTTAAATCGCCGGCTACACCTACTTTCTACAGATAACGTAAATCAATACGCATATATTTTTCGCCGAAATTAGCATTCTGTCCATAACATCGGAAGAGGCAAGAAAGATAACACGGCACATTCGCAGAAAAGTAGAAATGTTGCAGCTTCTTCAAATTCATATTTTATAAGAAATCAATTTAAAGAGGCCCATGTAAACCCAGAAAATGTGCGCAACCAAAACAGTAACGAAAATGCGAGACACTTGTTGCACGCTTGCACCTGATAACTACACTGCGAAAGAAAGTAGGTAATATTTATTTCTACACTCGTCAAATTTTATTTTTCCGCGAATGTCTCAGCTCGCCGCTCTCGTCTACGTCGTTCCACAGCACGTGCGCACTTAGCACAACAGGTGTCTGCGTGCACTGTTTGTTATTGATCAATGACGTTAACATACCGACTTCGCCGTGCGTCGGCACCGGCGCCCCGAAGGAGCGGCCCTGCAAGATGGTGCCATCCTCCAGGACCAGAGCGCAGGGCTGCTGCTCCGCGGCCGTGAGGCACATCTTGTCGAGGAAGCCGTCGGCTTGGACCTGGTCCGGTGGCGGGTGGCGAACGCGCACACGGATCGGGTATGGGCACAACTACCGGCCCGGGGTCCCGTCCGCAGTTCCGCAGTGATCTCGGTGCAGGCCGTGCAGGTCCAGTGGTCGCGGTCGCGGTGCGTCGCGTCGGACCTCCTGGCTCCAGCTGATATTGGCAAGGTTATGTCGCCCAGTGTCCGTCCCACAACGTGTTGAGCGCGCCGCGCTGCGGAGTGTGAAGTTGTTGTGGTTGTGCCGGGCCGGAGTGGCGCGGCGTGGTGGCGTGCGGCAGCAGTAGCGAATGTGGAGTGGCGGTTGCGGCGGCAGTGATATCGGCGAGCGGCTGAGCGGCGGCGGCGACCGGCGGCCTGGCCCGTCGGGCAAGGGCCGCGTCCAGGGAAGCATCGCGGCCATGCCTAGGAAGAGGCCACCCGCGGGGTGAGTGAGAGCAAACGAGAGGGGCATGTACGGAGACCAGCCTATGGTCCGACTATTCAAAGCACAGGCAGCATAAGGGTTTATAGAGGGGAAAAGTCAGATCGTATTCTATTCCGCCTGGTCTGACTTACTCCTTGTCCTTGGGTGAGTAATTCCCCCGGACGCAGCCTGGCCGAGTCGGGTCCGGCCGGGCCGAAGGCCGAGCTAGCCCGAAGGCCAAACTGGCCGAACAGGACACCTCCCCCCCCCCTCCCCCGGGGGGTCCCGATGTCCTTTCCTTTCTCCCCTCCTGGAACTCGAGGACTGTCGCGGTACTGTCTGTCTTGCTTGGCTTGCACTATCTTGCACCCGCCGAGCCGACCTCACGTCAGCTGCTGCGGCCAATACGAAGAAATATCTCAACAGCGTTCACCAGATATTCCGATTCCCACACTCCCGTTTGTAGCTGCGCTGGTTGAGATACAATCGAACCGGAATGGCCACATAGGCAGCTTCATCCAAATCGACTGAACTAAACCAAGTCCACTCAAGCCCCCCCCCCCTTCCCGACGCTTTCACGAAGGAAAGAACATTCAAATGCAA